ACATATCCTCGGCTATATACGCGCTGAATTCGCGAATACTTTATTGAGAGAATGGCGGTAAAGGCGAGGGGTATGTATGAGGGAAACTTGGGATAAATTTTGGATGAAATTTTATAAGAATCAAAACTTTGTTTTACATTCTTTTTAGTCGCGCTTTGTAGAAGTTAGCAAGATTTTGAAAATAAAAATCATCAAATATTTGAACTATGATGCAGTGACGGACTTGATCCAGTGGCAAAAAACGTACCATTTTGCATCCGGGAGGCACCAAAATGTGGCAAAATACCTCCCTCTCCAAGCGAAAAAACTTCGTTTTGAAGTGCGCGCCCTTCCCCTCACAAAAAGAGCGCTTTTGAAATCGGAGTTTTTTCACTTGGAAAGGGAAGCATTTTGCCACATTTTTGATACTTCCCGGATGCAAAATGGTACGTTTTTTGCCACTGGATCAGGTCTCTCACTCTAGTATTAGGTATTTTGCCTAAAGCATGTGGCGAAACGCACTCGTAAAAAAATTATTTATCAACGCCCAGTTTTTTATGAAGCTTGGCACAAATTTATCGTAAAATAATTTGTTTCGGAAATATGCGTGACTCCTAGCCCGCGCCTTGCCGAAACGACCGAGATTTTTAGGTCGAAAGTCGGAAAAAATGCGAAACCACAAGCTACGATTTTCATCAATTGATGTGGCCTATGCCGGACATCTGTAAAAACTTTAACGAAAATCTGAGCGTCGTCCTGTGAAGCCTTTCCTTGTTGGTATAAGATTTACAAAGATATGACTAAATATTATTTTCTTTTGCCATCTCTCTTCATTTCAGCAGTTTGTCCTTTTCAAATCTGATCTTTTACTCTGTGATGACAAACATTTTCTCGTATTTTTAGATCTTCTGCAACGTTTTTTTTCCTTTTGGCAAATCCAATTTTAAAGACTTAAAAATTCGCCTACACTTCCGCTGATTATCCCCGAAAGCCTGTGTCACTTTCAAGACAGTCTACATGGACTCCGTTGCTTTAAATTTATTTATTTTTAAACGCCGTTCTACTTGTTTTTGCAACTTTGTTCCAAGTTAGTCAACTCAATCCCGGTTAACTTCATATTCTTTAAACTTTCCATCAATTCCACCCCCAACTCTAGAAGTTCGTTGGTTGTTACAAGAGATATCTTTTTTTATAATCTCCACTAAAGTCCATCTCACTAATAAGCATGAATATTCACACAAAACAATTGATATTCCCATAAATTAACATAATTGTAATACATCAAGTTTTCGGGACTTTGGTGAACTAAGGTTCTCTTGAAGATATTAGGCGTTACAAGGAACGCAAAGGTCGTTGATGTGAATATTTCGTTGAGATCTAGACTTTATGGGAATGATATTGGTTTGTCGGGATAATAATGAGCACCACGTCGCCGCTCCAATCGTGTCGCTGAAGTGAAAAGCAATTTGATTTGTTCGCGACACACTTCATTTCCTTGACGGCAATGCGATTTTCGCTGCGACAGAGTGCTCATTATTTTCCCGACAGGCGGCTAGTATAATATTATTTTCATTATAAAATGCGTAGACACTTTTTTTTGTCTTTCGCCGCAAACGCACCGTGCATTTGCCTTTTTTATATTTGTCGCACGCACCGTGCATTTTGCTGTTCTTCGCACAGTGCAAACTTGAAAAAACGGTTCGTACTATGCGCGGATGACTCAGCAAAATTTCAGCGACGTAATTGGACAAAGCTTATATCTTGGCGATATTTCAATGCACTGTGCAAAAACTAAGTCTGTCGGGAAAATAATGGCACAATTTCGCTTCCCCGATCGTGTCACTGAAGAGAAAAGCAATTTGATTTTTTCGCGACACAATTAATTTTCTCGGCGGCGATGCGATTTTCGCAGCGACAGAGTGCTCATTATTTTCCCGACATTCTCAAAAAACTGCACCATGCAAATTTGGCTTTGCATCGTGCATTCTGCCGCGTGACGAAAGGTCCACGCACTTTCTGAAAATACTAGTAAATAGTTTGCACGGTGCAATTATTTCCAGCCCTTCCTAGCCGCCAAAAATTCCCACATTTTCTCAGGCCGCTTACGACGCCTCTTCAACGTGCATTTTCAATGTTTTTTGCAGTAGTTTTGCGCTCGCAGAATTAGCCAAAAATATTTCGTTTCCGGCCGTCAACAAGTTCCATTGTACGTTTGGGGATTAGCTTGGAATTAAACGCGAAACGAATATTACTGGACAAGCTTTGGTGGGAGGGCGTCCCAAGATAGTAAATTATTCATTGTTTTTTGAGGATAAGCGAGGAAAAAGGGCAGGTTGCATAAACCGGAGTCAATTAAGAGGGCAGTCGGTCGATTGGCGGAGGGTATTTCGCATTCTGTATTCAAAATGGTCTTAGTTTTGGCAGGCTTTGTGCTTTTATGGGATAATAATAGTACAAATTATCGGTCTGTCGGGAAAATAATGAGCATTTTGTCGCATCAAAAACAGCATCGCCGCCGAGAAAATGAATTGTGTCGCGACAAAACCAAATTGCTTTTCACTTCAGCGACGCGATCGGGTAAGCGAGATTGTGCTCATTATTTTCCCGACAGACCGAAGGAGTTAGGGCAGAGCGGCAACCCGAATTAGAACAAAAATTTTTCCCGCCCACTTCTGAGTTTCGTTCAAAAGAAGTGTCGCAATTGACAAAAAAATAAAATAATTCCGAAAAAAATGGTTTCCGGTCGGAAACCCCACGAAAAATTCATTTTTGGCATTTCGTTTGGCTACAACCAACACTGGGTGGGCGAAGTGCCGAAATAAGGCGGAGGGCTCCCTCGGTTGCCGTGCGCAGTATCAGTCTGTCGGGAAAATAATGTGGATTCGCCGCGCCTTTGAATCGCCCATCATCGCTTAGGCGCGGCTGGAGAGTTGGTCCGCGACTGCTGCGGCAAGGCGAGAAATTTATCTTCAACCAATCCACATTATTTTCCCGACTGATAAATATCAGTTTGTCGGGAAAATAATAAGCGTAATGTCGCTGCGCCAATCGCGTCGCTGAACTGAAAAACAATTTGATTTTGTCGCGACACAATTCATTTTCTCGGAGATTTTCGAAGCGACAATGTGCTCATTGCTCTCTTTCTTATGAGTTACAAACGTATTTCCAAAGTGGAAAGAAAATTTTGTCATCCGGTTTTTTGTCATTTTTAAAAAAAGTGCATGGAAAGTGCATCAAATGATGCAATTTTTTGGGTGTGGCGTTAGATTGTCCCACAATAATTCTATGCCGGATTTATTATAGATGTTGTAGGCCCAGCGGTGCCGGAGATACGAGGTGGAAACGAAGTTTTGTCAACCAGTATAGAAGCGACAATATGCCATTGCTTTCCCGACAGAACTCTTTCCCCGTTTCCGCATTGTGCAGGGCTCTGTCCAGTCTCAAGCGAGAGAAATGCTGAGAAAAATGGGATTACAGCCTTCCTAGGCGCTCTCTAGATTGTTCGCTTACGATTAGAACAAAGCTTTAACATTCTTGTCAAAAGTTGCCGAACGCTTGACATACCTTTGCTTACATGTTGGGCGTGGGTTTTGAATGATTGGTTTATGGCGTAGATAAAGAATTCTACCGCGATTTGAAGGGAACAACGTTTACCCGCCAGTGAGCCTTTTCTTTGTTATTCCAAGACCAAAAAGTGACCGATAATTCCGTTAGTTCCAAGTGTTCTCAGCGGCTTGTTCGTTAGGCGTGTACTATGTATATATAGGCGTGCCAAAAAAAGCCTTGACCAGTTTTCGGACGGTGTGGTCTGCGAGGAGGTGAGACATTCTGCTGCGACAAATCTACATTATTTTCGCGACAGACTGATATCAGTCTGTCGGAAAAATAATGTGGATTCGTCAAGCCTTAAAATCGCCCATCATCGCTTTACTGCAGCAAGCCGCAGCTACAAATTTGGTGCGCGGCAGCGACAAGACTTTCTGCTGCGACAAATCCACATTATTTTCGCGACTGACTGATACGGTCAGTACACAATATAACGGCTTGAAAGACTTGCGATTTTACCTTGCCATTGCTAGTCAGAGAATGAAAGGTTTATCGGTCTGTCGGGAAAATAATGTGGATTTGTCGCGCCTTGAAACCGCCCATCATCACTTTGCGACGACTTGCCGCAGCTACAAGTCTGGTGTGCGACAGCGACAAGACCTTTTGTTGTGACAAATCCACATTATTTTCCCGACATACTGATATCAGTTTGTAGGGAAAATAATGTGGATTCGTCGCGCCTTGGGATCGCCTGTCGTCGCTTTCGACGGCTAGCTGCGGCTGGGGATTCCGGTCTTGACCGCGACAAGACTTTCTGCTGCGGCAAATTCACATTATTTTCCCGACATACTGATACATAAGTCTCCGTATACAGTAGCACAGAATATCTGATTCCTTAGCTACATATAGTCGAGGTTTGACTGTAGCCTGGCCCTTACTTTACCCAATATCGGTCTTCCCAAGACCCCATCGAACGTGACTTTCTCAACGTTCCCGTTCTATTTTTAGCCCTGTTTTTTTTATTTTTGCATTTTTTGTCGTTCTCTTCCCCAATTTGGACCTGAAAACTCCCATAATCCCCTCGTATTTCAAACATTTTCCCATCCCAACACCATGCACGTTACATTTACTTTATCAACATTCGTAAACCATGTGATCTCCGCCCTTCACACGGCTATTTTTAACCGCCCCGAACTCAAATGTCCAATCGTTGTTGTGGCGGCGCGAAAAAAGTGTTCCAAATTTGATTTGTGGCCGGATTCGGCGGGCCCCGAAAAACTTTTGACCGGAACATCTTTGTGGTTCCGGTTCGAAACGAATGGTTTCCGGGCGTTTTTATCCCCCCATTTTGGTCATTCTTTACTCTTTCTTTCTCATGAAGGCATAATAACCGCCGTGGTTTTCAGAATTTTGATGATTTGGATACTGTAATCTCGACTACTGCCTGAAGAACCGATCATTTCAAACCCTCAACGATGAACACGTACCAGAGTACGACGATGGCGACGCGGAGACAGATGCAGCCGGGGATGTATGCGAGAGGAGGAGCGCATGCAGTGAATAGATGCCGGTCCCAACTGCCCCCGAGGAAAAGCCCAGCGCAGGTGCCGAGGTAAGGGAGATTGCAACGATTTTTTTACTTGGGGTCCTTTTATAAAAACAACGATTTTTCAAATGTGCATAGACTTTTTTGCGTTGTGGACAGTTCAACTGCGTCGTCGCGAATTTTGCGAGGCGAACGACATTGCACAGCGTAAAAAGAATCAACGTGGACTGCGCGAAAAAAGGCGGCGCACTTTTCAAAAAACAGCTACTAGTCTGTCGAGTAAATAAAGCGGATTTGGTAGCAAAGCATCCTGCCTCGCCACAGTCGCACAAAAAATCCACAGCCGCGGCTACTCGTGGCAAAGCGGCGATGGGCGATTTCCACGTTATTTTCCCGACTGACAGATATGCCGTTGGGATCTTCTTGATAGTACTGTTGGGCTAAAAGTTGGGTATTCTGTTGATAGGAGAGGTGTTCGAAGTGCTTAGATTGCCGTTTTCTTTGACATGGGAGACTCCTCTAGCTTTTGCAGAAACATGAAGACTTTGGAAACTGACAGCATTTTTTTACGAAACTATCAAAGTCATAGCCAAAGCGCGTTTTCATACCTGACCGCGCTCTGCATTTTTGGTGTCGATCGGAGGCGAAAGACTGTTGAATGTTCGGTTGCCTCTGTAAACTCCGAGCTGAAATTTTCAACAATTATTATGTCACCTAACCCGACGTACATGCAAAATTTAAAATGGAAGAGCTTCGTATGTCAGCCCAAAAATTGACCTGAAATACGCTCATACCCAATTCCCCGCAATTTACCCATTGACTCGAAAAATTGCGTCAAAAAGTCACTCAAAACATACCTTTTCCAAAAATTTTTTTTGAGTTACACCTCCACCAAACCCGGTCTCTCGGAAATGTTGGGATGATATCATCAATTTTCGGGACATTACTCATTCGGACTTTCGATATTTTTTGGCATTTACTATTCCTATTTATTGTCGCATAAAACAATGAAATTTGAGTTTTATGGCCAGCGAAATGGTCGGATTGCGGGACCAACTGGGTGTGAATTTTATGGCAAGGTATGAGAAATTCGATTTTTTTTTTTGAGATTTTTCAAGTTTTGGCAAATTTTTATGACCTGATTTTTGGATTAAAAAACGTGATTTTTAGGTAAATTAAGGTCGAATTTGATTAAAATATGGTAGACTTTTATAAGGGGGTTTTTGTGATTTACTGGCCTAAAAATTTAATTTTGACCAATTTTTTGTACAAAAAAACGTTTTTTGGTATTGCAAAAGTGATTTTTTGGACATTTAGATATCTTAGAGGAACATTCAGGCCTTAAAATTGATTAAACACCTCAATTTCTATCCAAAACGTTGTTTTTTTTATCAAGAAACAAGATGATTTTTGCCTACTAGTCGCGACATAAAGTCCGTAGAATTTTTCGCGGCCCCCAAATTCCGTCGCGCTCCGAAATGTTGATTTGTCGCTGCGAAAAACGGGAATCGCGCGCGACAATAAGGCAAAATCAACAAAATTGCACAGTGCAAAATGTGTTTTCGGGTGAATGCACAGTGCAAAATGCTTTTTCGGGTTTATGCACAGTGCAGAAAATTCTACGGACTTTATGTCGCGACTAGTAAAACAATATAATTTTGGCCTTTACTTACGGGGAAAGTACCCCAAGTGCGACGCTCAGATTTTGATGAAACTTGGCACAAATTTAGAATAATTTTTTCTAGGATATATGCGAGACTCCTAGCACGCGCTTTCAAGAAACAACCGAGATGTTTAGATCGAAAAAAATTTGTCACTTCTTGCCGAATTTCGGCACGAAACGTTTCATGCCTATTTCCACCATAGAGGGTAATGTCTCAACAAAAATCAATTTTTTCCGCACGAAACTAACAAGTTATGATCAAAAAGTGTTTTTCACTCTGGCCGCCCTCCACGGTTAGCATGCTGTTTCGGCGGCAAGGATCGTTCAATATCTCGGCGGCGCTTGCAAAGCGCGAGCTAAAACTTTGAGGAATTGATATTTAGTTCGTGCCCGACATGTGTATGCCAAATCTAGTGAAAATCTGAGAGTCGCATTTGGGGTACCCTTGTTAGCGAATTTCCCAATCAAACGCCTTACTTCCCCGTTCACCCTGATGGTGACATCAACCTCGTCGTTTATCAGCAGCCCCCTAAACCGAGTTATTCTCTCGAGTTTTCGGGAGGGTTTCGTCCTCAGGGGCCGGTAATATAATTGAAGAATTGAGAGTGCCTTAAAAGAGCCCAGTTTATGACCAGTTTCGGCGACGGAGCGGGCGGATAAACGGCTCGGTCAAAGTTTTAGCCACCGCCTGGGGCATGATTGGATTACAAATATAGAATTTAGATTATAGTAGCTTCAAGAGGTGGGGAAATTTTTTGCGATGGGTGAATAAAGTGGGGAGGAGTGGTAAACGTGATAATTCTGATAAGTCGGGCTTGATTTGGTTTTTAAAGGCGATTTTAGGCAAAAAAGTCACCTAATTCATATGAAAAAACGAAAAATTAACCAAAACAGGGCTGATTTTCCCAGTAAATCACAAAAATCGTCACTAAACTTTTCAAAAAATCAGATTTCTCACAAATTTTTTATTTTCAGTACTTTCAGAAATTCCTATGACATGAGTTCAAGTCGCGGGATCCAATCGACAAATCTCCCCTCACAATTAACCGTGGTCCTGATGGGAGCACCAAGGGTAAGTTTAAAAAGTTTTGAGCTTCGATTTTCTTCATATTTGGCAAAGATAATCCTAATATTGGAAATTTTAGCTCTCTCTTTGTGGTCGCAGCGGAGATACTACGAAATTTTTGTCCAAGAGAGTATACGTAATGAGGAGAGACGGTCAGAGAAAAAATATTTTTGGACCAAATGTTTGATAATTTTACGTGGAAAAATTGATTTCTTTTTGTGGAGAAAAATTTTACTTCACGGTGAAAATAATACCAGATTTTTGCTAGAAAAACCGAAGAAAACCTCGATTTTTTGCATTTTTTGGCCGAAAAATGATAGTGTTTTCTGAAAATTATGATTCCTGTATGTGTCTCACACAAAATTTTTAGGCGTTTTTTTTTAAAATGTGTGAAAAAATCAAAAAAAAAAATCAAAAAATTTTTTTTTGTTTTAACTTTTTTCACTCAAAAACAAACTTTTTTCAGGTAGGCAAATCGACCCTTGTCAATCAGTTCCTTTGGGAGGCCTTTATCCGCGAGTATCGGCCAACAGTCGAGGAGTTTAATTGGATCGAATACGAAGTGGAGGACGGAGAACTGCTGGTCCAAATCATCGACAGCAGCGGATCTCGCGACTTTCTGGCAATGAGAGATCTCTATTACAAGCAAGGGGACGCTTTCATGGTGGTTTATGCGGTGGACGATCCGGGATCGTATGCGGAGGCGGTTCAGATCATCCAGGAGATTCAAGTCAAAAGCCCCAAAAATGTGAGTTTCCGATTTTAGGTTTTTTGGAAAAAATAAAAAAATTTTTGGATTTTTTTGCAAAAAAAAAAAAATTTTAAATTTTTTAGTAAAAAATAAAAAAAAATATTTTTTTAAATTTCTTATATTTTTTGCAAAAATCTGGTCCAAAATGGGCTTCAAAAAATTTATTTTTCCCTATCCACTAGTAACGGAAATATTACGCAATCTTTTTTTCGGAGAGAGCACAGAAAATGAAGAGAGACGGTCAGAGAAAAAAAGTCTTTTGGCTTTTTCCTTGCAGATGTCGCTCGGAAAAAATTGATTTTTTATAGAAATATTTTACTCCTCATTTTTAAGAAAGACTGATTTTTTCAAGCCTTGAAATTAAAAAAAACAAAAATTTTTGACATTTTTCAGCTTGAAATCTATGATTTTTGCAAAACTGAAACTAAAAATTGCAAATATGCCTTGAAAAATTCTAACCAAAATTTGTGTCAAGTTCGAGAAAATTTTAAGCCATTTTTTTATTTATTTTTTCTAATTTCTCGAAACACATGCACATTTCGTATTTTACAATGGAAAAAAACTTCAAAAAATCTCAAGAATTAGACTCTTTTTTCCAATTAAATCCCCTCAATTTTCCATTTCAGGCGCCGGTTTTATTGGTGGGTAATAAAGCGGATTTGCGGGTCCCCGATGCGAATGGGAACGTGTGGCCGCCGGAGGCGAATCCTCAAGAATATGCGCGACGAAATCGCATTCCCATGGTCAATATCACTGCCAAACAATTGAAGGAGGTAAAAATTAAAAAAAATTTTTTTTGGAAATAGATTTTTCGACAAAAAATACTTTTTTTTTTAATTTTTGAGTCGCAATTCTTTCAAGTCTAAATTATTTGCCCAAAAGTTCTCATTTTCCCCCCAAAAATCTCATTTTCCCCATATCTGACCTAATTTTCCCAGGTTCAACACGTCTTCTGGACCCTCATGGACAACCTCCGCTTGTCCTGCACGCCTTCCGAGCTCCAACTCAAGAAGCGTCGCCAATCCATGCCCTCCAGACGGACCGCTTCGGACTTGGGCATCGACTCGGCGGCGCTGGAACAACTGGTTAGGAAACATGACAAGAAACAACGGGCCAATTGTATTGTAATGTAAACTATTTGCCGACTCCAACCCAGTGCTAATAATAAAGTCGAATTTAAAATACGAAGAAGAGGAAAATTTTAAAATTAAAAATAAGTGATGGGTGATATAAAGTTATGTCCTAAAAGCAATATAAAATTAACTGACCGGTCGTTTTTTGTTTTTCATATTTTCAGTGATAAATATACTTTATTTTTCATATTGAATATTGAGATTCAATATTGCATAATGGTCAAAATTACAAGTTTTTGGCTACAACAATAAAAAAGCCCCGAAATTTTCAAAAAATCCCATTTTTTCAAAATCAATCAAGTTTTAGCTTCCACTAGAGGTGGCAACCGGGCTGGGCTGGGCCGGGCCGGCCCGGCCGGGCCCGGTGTTTGGGCCGGGCCGGGCCTGAGCAGATTTGAAAAAGCCCTGGGCCGGCCTGACCGCTTCGGCCCGCGGGCCGGGCCGACACTTTCGGCCCGGCCCGGCCCGGAAGGTAGATAAGTAAGACATTTTTAATGCTAAACCAGCAAAATAAAGCACAAATGCTTTGTAGAATGGATGGAAATTAGATTAATCCTTTTTTGCCTTATACGCTGTTTTACTACCTTTTAAAATTATGTATATGTATGTGTAACTTATTATGTATATGTAAAATCCCACCCAAATATGCAAGGATCGGGCAAAAAACTTCGAATTTTCTATGATAAATTTAAAAATTTCACTGTAATTTCGATTCCTTGATGTCAGGAATCGAAAAAAAATGTCATCCGACTAGACTTTTTAATTTCACGCAGACACACGTAAAAGCCTTCTGGAAAGCATAACAACTTCCAGTAGAAAGTGCAAAGACTTTTATCCAACTTTTCTGTATTAGCGGGCCAAACCGGGCCGGGCCGGCCTGGGCTTTCATCGGGCCGGGCCGGGCCTGAGCAAATTTGAAAAAGCCCTGGGCCGGCCTGGTCACTTCGGCTCGCGGGCCGGGCCGCAAAAATCGGCCCGGCCCGGCCCGATTGCCACCTCTAGCTTCCACTCATTACAAAAAATTGAATCTACATTCTCTGTAGGCTATAGAGACATCAAAAATGTTACTCTGTTCTAACTAAAAAGTTGTCAAATTTGATTTTTACTTTAATCATCAAGCTTGATCAAGTACAATATCCGAGGCGCCCAAATTCACACTGAAAACGAAAAACTGCGGGCATCTCCGTTCCGCAGAAGCCCAGTGTGCTTTTTCGACGCCGCGGTGTGGACTTCTAGACGGTTTGATTTGAACAGACAGTGGGGAAAGCAATACAAACTTTTGACGCGACGAATCGGGACGAGATGCTTCGTTAGTCGATCACTGTGACGGATTGGGGGAATCGAGCTGGCCAAGCTCGCGTCTCACGGAAGAGACTACCCCTGCGCTACGCAGGGGCATCTCTGATCCGCTGGGAATCGGTTGATATTCAAATTTAAAATGAGAAATTCTCGGGGAAACCGGTTGTTTTTGGAGTTGCGATAGAAAAAATGGTAAAATACGAACGCCTTTTCTATGTCTGCTTATGACAACAGCGATGTGCGACGTATACATATAGGTTGAAAAATATTCGCAGTTGAAAAACATGGTCAATAATTTTGAGGGCTAAAAATAAGATCAGAATGTAAGGTTGGATTTGGACGGAAAGTGATCTCGAGGCTCTCGAGCAACTCTTTGGTTTGCTTCAAATGTTGTAATGTTCCAATGTCTTGCCTCGCCGCTATCGCGCACCAAATCCCAAGCCGCGACTTGCAGTCGCAAAGCCATGATTTCGAGGCGCGACGATCCGCCGTTATTTTCCCGACAGACCTATAGTCGGTTCGCAAAGTCGCTGGAGGCAATTTCGGCGATATTCACCGTGAGAAAACGAAAGTTCACTTTGCACTGTACAGTTTTCGGCTTTTCACACGGTGCAATAGGGTTTTTTGAACTGTCGCTCGCACCTTGACTTTTTGTGAGGGAAAGGGCGCGCCCTCCAAAACGAAGTTTTTTCACTTGGAAAAGAAAGCATTTTGCCGCATTTTTGATACTTCCCGGATGCAAAACGGTACGGTTTTTGCCACTGGATCAGGTCCCCCACTGTACAATCGCCCCTTTTTTGCTTCAAAAAACTCCTCCTAAACACCATTGTATAAATATATCAAATCGTCTTCTATTTTCGTTCATGGCTCCTCCCGATCCCGCAGATCATTTCATCAACTTGAAAGAAGCTCCCCGTTGATACGAACCTTATACAAAACGAATGTCGTCTTCGGAGTCGATTATATTATTTGAGCGTCTTCTTCCTTTCTCCAAGATCAATCCAAGGTCAGACTTGATATTTGTTACAATACTGCTTTACAAATCGAAGTTCAGGCTTGTTTATCAACATTTATCATCTTTAAAGACGTCAAATTTTATTACAATTAATACTTTTTACAATCGTTTTTACAGTTTTGGAAAACTTTTTCGACTCTTTTAAATTGTAATTAAGGGGCAAAGGTCACATGGAAAGTAATAGTCAGCAATAGGGGGTTTAATTTTAGAATCGAATTGCGTCGAACAGTTTTGGATCTTACTTAGGGGAGAGTAGTAAATTCTATGTTTCGAGACAGTAATTAGCTATAATAGATGAAAGCTTGTCTGGGCCCCTGACTCCAATACGCCACCAATTTTACAACTCTCCTACGAGAGATACCTCGGAAAAAAAGATGAAGTAATGAAATGTGTGAATAAGAAGCTACGTACTTCAGGTACCTCCGAAGGTCATACTGCTTCAGAGCGCAAAAATGAGACATCGGTAACCGCCAAAATAAAAGGTTTTGTCGTGACTTTTGACCTAAAGAATCTCTTTGGTTTCTGCAAATCGCAAACTAAAAATGTCGCGTAGGCCTTACAAAATTTTAATCTGAATTTTTTTTTTAGAAACTTTATCGAAGCCTGCGGCCTATGCGCTATCTGAAACCGTCTAAGGTAAGCAAAAAATCTAGGGCGCAGCTCGGAGGCAGCTCAGCGCATTGACGCGTAGATCTAATTGTAAGAGCAGCACAATTTTGTAGTTTGAGCTGCGCCATGGCTAAGAATAGTGTCCGAGACGTGGTTTGGCTGTATTTCAAGTTGTTCCCTACCCTTTTCCGTCAACGTTCAGCAAACTTTCAGACAGCACATTAGCCTGCACTATGCAAGAAAAGTCAGGGTGCGAGCAACAGCACGAAAAGTCTATGGCACGGTGAAAAAAGCAAGATATTGCACAGTGAACTTCTGTTTTCCCTCAGTGCATAACCGCTATTAAATCGCTATTACGGCTTTACGGAGGCACTGGTAACAAACCTCGAATGTTTTCCTTTTTATTTGAAGATCGATTTTTTTAACTCTAGGTCATCAAAAGTCACTTTTTACTTTTTCAAAAACAGTTTCTTCAACATTTTCCCCCACTTTCCCCCACTTAAGACCCCTCATTTACTGTAGCGCCCACCTTCTATTACTTGTTCCTCAAAGTACGGTATGAACCGAAGTACGGGGCCTGCAAAACGAGCCCCTCGAAAAAGCTACAGATGACGGGAAATGGGCCCTTGTAAGACGGTCGAATTTCGCTTTTCTGGAGGGGTTTCGAGTGTGCGACTTTTTCCTCCAAATTCGGTTAATTTTTTTACTCTACAACTCGTGGTTTGCGCGCGCGTTTTTTTCGAAATAAACGTTTTATTGGAGGGAGCGACTGGAGGTGGGGGAAAGTCGTCAAGGATGTTGCCATTGGCGGATATTACGAAAAAAGGTTTCGAAAAAGGTTTCAAAAAGGGTTCAGGGTGCTTTGAGTGCGGTTTTATTTATACTTTGGAGGTCGTTTTATACGAATTTAAGATGATTTGAGTTGATTTTAGGGGTTCGAATTGAAATTTGAGAGGCTATTATCAGAATGCTGGCCATAGATTTTGGTGAAAAAAAAATCAAAGTGATGATTTTACGAGACATTTGCGAGATTTTTAGTGTTCGCTTTTCAGAAAACATCGAGATTTTTAGGCCGAAAACTTGTGAAAATTGGAAAATTTTTTATGAATTATAGATGGTAAAAAGACACAGTCTTCTTCCTACCGGTGAGGACAACTTTTCCACAAAAAATCAGCTTTTTCCGCCAGGAATTGGCAGAGATATAACCAAAAATATTTCCCCCTTTTTTCTCGGGCCACTCTCTGCATTGCGTGTATTCTCTATTCGACAATGGCTGTTCAATAGGCATGCCTCTACAGTAGGTAGCCTCCACAAATCGCGAGCCTTTGAAGACGAACTTTTATAATATTTATTTTTCTGTGGCCTATACTGAAACTTTGTCCTAAATTTCAAGGAAAAACTGAGCGTCTCACTTACCCTTTTAGCCGATGGAAAATCGCAAAAAAAACAATGGTTTTGATTACATTTCGACCAAAAAATCTCAGCTAAAAATCTGTGGTATACCTTCGAAATTTCATTGCTTGTTTTTGGGCCAAGTTTTGCCAATAATTTTTTTTCTAATTGTAAGTTTCGAACTACAAAAAAATTTTTGAAAAATGAAATTTAGAGGCATCAAAAACTTTTTACTTTTTCAAAAATCTTGAGTTTTTTGATAATTTTTGATACTCTCAATTTTTTATTTTCACCTTCCAAAGACTTCAAATCCCCCATACAAACTGCTCATCTCCAACATCCCTCAAACCTAATCCCTTTTTTGCGCAATCACAAACCGGTCACGTCGAAAAAAGTCAACTGTAAATCGGAATATTTTTGTCGAATATTCCAAAAAACCCACAAAAAATCCGATCATGAATCGTTTTATCCACTTACCGCGCCTCTAATTACCCCTGTCATTTCGAGGGTACCCACAGTTTTTCTCTATTTTTTCGGTCTTTGACGGAAATGGGTCGATGGAGATGACTTTTAAAAACCGAACAAAAAATTCTCCGTTAATTGAGGTTTGTTAAATTTTACGGTGAGCCGAGAGGACCGTGAATTCGTGGGGTCTTTTGGAGGGAAAGTTCACTCTTTATTTTCG